CAAACCTGGGAGATCCCAAACCAAATTCCATGGAGCTTGACATCCCAAACCTGGGAGGTCCCAAATCAAATCCCATGGGACCTGACATCCCAGAAGGTCCCAAACCAAATTCCATGGGCTCTGACATCCCAGAAGGTCCCAAATCAAATTCCATGGAGCCTGACATCCCAGAAGGTCCCAAACCTGGGAGGTCCCAAACCAAATTCCATGGAGCTTGACATCCCAAACCTGGGAGGTCCCAAATCAAATCCCATGGGCTCTGACATCCCAGAAGGTCCCAAATCAAATCCCATGGGACCTGACCTCCGAGAAGGTCCCAAACCAAATTCCATGGGGCCTGACATCCCAGAAGGTCCAAAACAAAATTGCATGGGGCATGACCTCTGAGAAGGTCCCAAATCAAATTCCATGGAGCTGACATCCCAGAAGGTCCCAAACCTGGGAGGTCCCAAGCCAAATTCCATGGGGCCTGACCTCCGAGAAGGTCCCAAACCAAATTCCATGGGGTGTGACCTCCAAGAAGGTCCCACATCCAACCCCTGTGAGATCCCTGAGGGGTCTCAGAGCCAAGCCAGGGGTGTCGCTCACCGTCTGCTTGAAGCCGACGGCCGTGTGCTGCGGGGCCTTGCGCAGGGCGTTGGTCATGGTGCGCCGTGCCTCCGAGTACTCCAGCTGGATGGCCTTGATCCGCCCTGCGCCCACACGGGGCAGGTGGGGAAAGCCACCCAGTGAATCCAACCTGACCTGCACGGATGGGGCTCCAAATCCTGCCTGGAAGCCCCACCTCCAGCTGATCACAGGGGTTCTCCGAGGAACCGGAGCCCGGGAGGCAGGGCAGGCACCGAGCCCGCTCACCTGTGTAGTACAGGTAGCGAGCCCACTCGTTGTTGTTGGCCTGCTCGGGGAACACGGATTTGGAGACGAGCTTCTCGGCCTGGTCGTAGAGGTTGTAGTGGAGGTAATTCCTCAGGAGCAGGTTCAGGAGCGTGGCCTGGCCGTCGGCGTCGTGGCGCAGCGTGGCCGTGCGGAGCCGGGCGTGCAGGAAGCTGCGGGGTGGGACGGGGAGTCAGGGAAGAAGAGGGAGGAAAACAGGGGGGATCACGTTCAGGGAGAGCCCCCCACAGGACCCATCCCACCTCCGGACCACGTCGAGTTTGTTCAGGAATTCATAGATGCGGGAGTGGTAATAGTAACACTTGGCCACCACCAGGTCCAGGGCCCGGCGGTTCTGGGAGCTGATCTTCTGCATCAGGTCATCGGACACCTTCTGAGCCTGCGGGACAGGAAGGGAGGTCAGGGCAGGGACTGACCCCACGAGGGGCAGAGACCACCCAGACTGCTGGGATGAGGGGACAGCACGAGGCAGGGGATGCCTGGGGAGCAGGAGCACTGCAGGCAGCTCAGGGCTCTCACCTCGGGGTACCTCTTGCTGTTCATCAGGTAGATGACGAGCAGCAGCTGCAGGTAGGCCTCCACCTCTGGCAGGAGAGGGGCTGAGGCTGCTTTCCCCGTCCGTGGGCGGAACTGCAGCTCAGCTTCTGTATCCATGGACTGAGGGGAGAGAGAAATTCTGGATCCCTGTCCCCGTGGGGAGACAGCTCTGCTCCAGGTGTGACAGGAGCCAGCCCAGGGCTGCAAGGACCCGTCCCAGCAGAGGGGCTGCTCGTCTCCTGTGCCCCCAAACCCCTCTGCCCTACTCCAGAGGCTCCTTGGAGAGGGAAAGAATCATGGAATCCCAGACTTTTTTGGGTTGCAGGGGCCTTCAAGTTCATCCCTACCCTGTCATGGGTAGGGACACCTTCCACTAAACCAGGTTGCTCCAAACCTTGTCCATCCCAGCTACAGACGCTTCCAGGGATGAGGTAGCCACAACTTTCCTGGGAAACCCATTCCAGTGCTTCACTGCCCTCAGAGGGAAGAATTGCTGGCCAGTATCCCATCTAATCCTGCCCTCTGTCAGTGGCAAGCCATTCTCCCTTGTCCTGTTACTCTTAGTCCCTCTCCAGCCTTCCTGCTGCTTCTTCAGACACTGGCAGGCCATAATTAGGTGACCCCTAAACCTTCTCTTCTTCAGGCTGAACCATCCCTACTCTCCCTGTCTTTCCTCACAGCTGAGCTGCTCCATCCCTTTGATTATCCTCTGGATTTGCTCCTACACCTCCACACCCTTCCTGGGGCAGCTCTGCTGGTGGGGGTTGTCACCAGAGCCGGGCAGAGGTGAGGGCAGTCCCTACCTCCTCCAGGAATCCCAGCAGGAAGTCCCTGACAGTGCAGTTGGAGGTGAAGAAGCCGTGGATGGCCTTGTGCAGCACGTTGGGGTTGAGGCGGCGGGAGGTGGAGGGCAGAGCCCGCAGCGCCCGCAGGACGTAGCGCGGCTCCTTCCCCGACACCGCCTTCTCCAGCTGCTTCACGTGCTCCTTGATGTCTGCAGGGGGGCACACCGACACCCCTCACCCCAAATCCTCTGCCAGCAGCACCCCGGAGCAAAGCCGGGGCTGCCCCCTCGCCCCGTCCTGCTGTGCTGAGGTGCCTCTGCCCATGGCTTTGGTGTCCCCAGTGACCCGACCTGCCCTCAGGGCTGTCCCTGTTTGGAGCAGGGGGCTGGTGAGGCTCTTGTGGAGTTTTCTCCCTCCTCCCGAAGGGCTCTGCACCCCTGTGGGGTCCCACCACAGCCCCCCCGTGCCTCACAGTCTGTCCCCAGAACACACCCTCACAGAGCTGCCCCAGTTCCCTTCTACAGCGACCCCTCCAAACCACAGTTCCATCCCCCATGCTTCAGTGACCCCAAAACCAACCTCCTCCTTGCCTTCCCTCACACGCTGCCCCAAACACCCTTCTCCAGAGTGTCTCCCGCACAGAAACACAGCTCCCACCTCCACTTCCCTCTCTAAATCCCTTTCCCCATAGTGACACCCCCTAAACACACCTCCCCTCTCCCTTTCCCACACAGTGCCCCCCATGTCCCCTTCCCCAACGTGCTCCCGTACCCTAAACTCACCTCTCATTTCCCTCAGAGCCCCTCCAACTCCCCACCCCACACTGATCCCAACATTCCCCTCCTCCAGCACTTTTCCAGCCCCTTTCCCACCCCCGCTCAGGTACCCCCACCCTGACCCCCTCAGGGCTTCCTATACCTCCCCCCAGCCCCCTCCTCCACCACCCCCCTCTCAGGGGTTCCCCCGATCCGTGCCAGGCCCCTTCCACCCCCAAGACCCCCCAGCTCCCCCCTCACGGCCACAGACACCCCCCACTACAACAACACCCCCCCCTCACCCTCCAGCGTGATCGCGTCCAGCTCCCGCTGCGGCTGCCGCTCTCCGCCCGCCTCGGGGGCCACCGGCGCCGCCTCCTCGTGCATCTCGACGTCGGGGGGCGCGGGCGGGGGTCCCTCCGGGGGCGCCTTGGCCTTGTCGCCGCGGCGGCGGGACGCGCCGTCCTGCTTCATGGCGTGACACTGCACAACGGGCCGCCAGGCGCGGCCAGCCGAGCGCCGAGCGGCGCGCCATCGGCTCCTTCCGCCTCCCGCTCGGCCCTTTCCGCCGCCGCTCGGCTCGTTCCGCCGCGCGGCTCGGGTAGCTCAGGCGCGGCTCGTGCAGGTTCGGGTGTTTCCGTCTTCGCTCGTCGATTTTCGCCGGAGTTTTCGGGCGTTTTGGACGAGCCCTCTCGGAAGATTCCGCCATCTATCGGCTTCTTTCGCCTCTCTCTCCTTCGGGAATCTCCGTAGAGCTTTCGGGTGATGAGCGGTTCCCGCCTTTTGGGGGCGCGGGCGAGTCTTCGCTGAGGTCCCGTGAGGGGCTTTGTAACGGGGCATCCCGTGCGGGGTTTGTCTGTAACTGAGCATCCCGTGAGGGGTTTGTCCGTAACGGGGTATCCCGTGAGGGGTTTGTCTGTAACGGGGCATCCCTTTGTCTGTAACGGGACATCCCGTGAGGGGTTTGTCTGTAACGGGGCATCCCGTGAGGGGTCAGTGAGGGGTTTGTCCGTAACGGGGCATCCCGTGAGGGGTCAGTGAGGGATTTGTCTGGAACTGGACATCCCGTGAGGGGTTTGTCCGTAACGGGGTATCCCGTGAGGGGTTTGTCTGTAACGGGGCATCCCGTGAGGGGTTTGTCTGTAACGGGGCATCCCTTTGTCTGTAACGGGACATCCCGTGAGGGGTTTGTCTGGAACGGGACATCCCGTGAGGGGTCAGTGAGGGATTTGTCTGGAACGGGACATCCCGTGAGGGGTTTGTCTGTAACGGGGTATCCCGTGAGGGGTTTGTCCGTAACGGGGTATCCCGTGAGGGGTTTGTCTGTAACGGGGCATCCCGTGAGGGGTCCCGTGAGGGGCCGGGCTGGGATCACGGATTCTGTGAGGGTCTCGTGAGGGATCGCACTGGGATCAGGGATTCTTTGAGGGTCCCGTGAGGGATCGCAGTGGGATCGGGGATTCTGTGACGGTCCCGTGTGGGGCCAGGCTGGGGCCCCGTGAAGGGTCCCTGGTAGGGCCAGGCTGGGACCGGGGATTCTGTGAAGGGTCCCTTGTGGTTCATGTGGGGTCAGGCTGGGACCGAGGATCCTGCAAAGTGTCCCTTGTGGGCTTGGGGATCCTGTGAGGGGCTGAGCTGGGATCGGTAATCTCGTAAGTGATTTGGTGAGGAGGAGAACTGGAGGCTGGGAGCAGGGGTCCCAGGAGAGGCCAGGTTGGAGCTGGGAGTTCTCTGAGGGGTCTGCTCTGGGACTGGGGCCAAAGGGTTTTATGACGATTCCAGGTCGGAGCCGGGCTCCCCTCGTAGCTGTTGCAAGGCAGAGCCCGGTGCTGGAGGTCCTCCTGAAGCCATCAATGCCTGCACAGGTGAGCAGTGCTGCAGGCACCCATGGCCTCCAGAGACCCTCCCACGGCCCCACAGCCTGAGGGACTCCCCGACTTCCCCCCAGGGATAACTGCTTGTGTTTTTCATATAGTATGCCGAGCTTGTCAGATGTACTTGACAGAAATGGACTTTGAGGAACACCCAATTGCATAGCAAGAAAGTACTCTTTATTTATAGAGTGATAACAAGAGTATGCTTGCTCTAAAGTGCTACATGTGTCCATTGAACATCTCAGGGATGATGGCAGTGACCGGAGAGGTGTAAGTGGAAGAAATCCACTTTGATATTCAACCTTTAGTACGCAAAATTAATTTTCCTGCCTTAAATTCCCTTTTGCCAGCCAAATCAGCCTTGATTATTAACAAGGATGATACTAGGAGAGAAAACTGTCTTGTCAGTAAAGATTTCACAAGACCTTGCAGACGGGTTCCCTGGGCAGGGCCAGGTACAGCCTACCACTCAGGAAGTTAAGGGCATATAAGGCCACAAACAGGGCTGCCACGGCCTCGAAGGATTGATCCCTAGGGACAGCTAAACCATCTTGCTGGAGCTGCACTCCACTCAGCTCCACCAGGGCAATGGTTAACATCTGTTCCTCCTCTTGTGAGAAGAGCAGCCTGGAATCCACTAGGAAAGAGTCCATCCCTTTGTCCAGGTCATGTTTCAGGAGGTTTTCAACCTTCACAGAAACAACAAAAAAAAGCAAAATAAGAATTTCAATCAGTTGTCAAATTGTGTCATCATAATGGAAATGTTGCTAGAATTAACATAGCCCCCGCCTCCCCTTGAGAGGAGCCAAGTGTGATTTGTGTTCTCACCAGGTTCAGCTGTTGGGACACAATCTTCCTTTCCAAGGATTCCAGCAGCAGCAG